CCCCAACCCCAACCCCAACCCCAACCCCATTTTTACTAATAAAAGCAAAGCTGATTCAGTTGAAAACAAAAATTATAATTTTACTAAAATTATCACAGTTAAAATTAAATTGTCTTTGTACAAAGATATAATCAATAAAAAAATCTAAAGTATTCATAGTTAGTTAGTAAATAAATAAGATAAATTTTATATAAATTAATGACATTAGTTCTTAAAAATCAAATAATATAAGTTAAAAAAAAAAGTCGAAAAAACAAACCCTTTTATTTTGAAATAAAATAATTAACTATTTAATTAATAAATTGTCATATTTTTTAATTTTATAAAAAATTCATCTTAAAAGAATAAAAATAAAATTATCAAATTTATACAATAAATCAATATAAATTTTAATTTTTTTAGTATTTTTATTATAATTGGTCATGTTTGAATTTAAATAATATTTTGATTTAAATTATCATTAATTAATTTATCAGTTTTATTAACATAATGTAAAGAGAAAATATTAATATCAATTAATTATATTAAAATTTTTTTAAAAATAATTTTTTAAATAAGATTATTTTTATAAAACTTTATTGAAAATATAATTTTAATTAAAATTAATTTAATATTTTTATTCTGTTAAAAGAGTTAGTTGCTAATCAATTTAATTAATAGAAATTATATATATATTTAGTTTAAAAAATTAAATAAATTAGTTTTGATAAAAATTAATAAAATTCTTTGATAAATAAATTTTTTTTTTAGTTTATTTAAGGAAATCTTTTTTTGATGCAACAAATTTATATAAAATAATAAAATAATTTAATCAATTTAATATCCTTGAACCTTATCCTGCTAGAAAACTTCTATTATTCTATGAAATTAAAATAATTATTTTATTTATTCAAAATTAAAAAATTTACAGCCCTGGTAGCAGAGAAATTTCTCTAAGAAATAGGTTATTGATTTTAATTTGAAGCTATTTGTGTATTATAGCTATTTCCATATTCTGAACAGTAAATATTGTTGTTTTACTTGGTTTAAAATATATTTATATTATCAACACTTTAATTAAGTCTACTTAGTGCAAAGTTTTCGTTTGAAAAATTTCTAGCATTTTTATACTGTTCAGCTGATCTTTAGAGGCCTAATTAGTTATCTATCATATTCATTTATTTTTATCTTTAGAAATCTCTTTAGCCTGATAAACCAGGTACAATTGGAGTATGTAAAACTTTGCTTTGTTATTCCTTGATTGGAGAATTATATTACTTTATATTTTAAAAATGTATTATGTAAATGGTAATTGGATACAAAATTACATCTAACTATTATCTATTTAAACAAAGCTCAATAGGATTCATGTATCCTTCTAATCTTCTTTTTTGTTAATCGATTTCCATCTATTATTAAGATATATATTTTATTTCAAACTAAAAGATGTTTAAATTACTTGATTCTTTAAATCTCCTAAGTAATCTAACTGTTTGGACTTGTTTATCTCATTTTGAACCCTCATTTATTACTAATATTCTTTACTCTTAACGAAAATAAATAAACAAAATCTCTTAAAAATAAAAATAATTTACATTTTCATCTAATAATTTTTAATAATTTTAGTTCATCATAGCCTCCTTATGGGCTTGTTCCTTTTTGATGTTAATTTAATATAAAATTGTATCATAAGTTTCTTTATTAATTTGTTTTCTTTTATATTAATCCTAAAGTTCTCTCTCTTCTTACTCTAGCTGTTTTTATCTAATAACTTTATCCACATTATTGATCTCAAAATTCTTCTAGTCTTCTAATTTTCTCTTGTACAAATTATCATAGTATTCTAAAACTTTGTTATTCTATTAAAATCCACCTTTGATCTTATCAAAAAACTACAAATATTTAAATAATATTAAACTTTACATTTAATCACAAATAAAGCTAAATAATATCTTCAATTTAAATAAAACGAACGTATTTTTAGTAGGTTTTTAAAATCAAAAAGTTAAAGACTAATAATCTGGATTATGATTTCATGATAATTAATATTAATAATCAAATTATTTACTTGTTTCCTGTTCATTTCATAGTTATTAAGTTTTTAAAGTTCTGCTTCCATGAGCTTTTTATCCTCTTACTTAATCTTCTCTTTTTCTTAAGCTTTCATCTTTAACAGAAATAAATTATAATAAAAATAAAAACGATTTATATTTACCAACTCTTATTAACGATAAGCATCACTCAATTCATGTACTATACGTATTTTTTACTGCATTTTTTGATTGTTTTCTTCACTTTATAGTTTTTGAGCTTTATCTATAATCTATTTCATTTACTGAACTTCAGCGTTTCTTTCTAAAGACTAATTTAAAAAAAATTATTTTCCTTAATATATCTTAATATATTAAATTACGAATTTTTCATTCTTAAGTTAAATCTCATTGAAATTTGTATAATTACACTACTGTGCCATTTCTTTTATTTTATTTTATCTACTCAAATCATTTACATTCTATTTCTTTAAAACAATTTTAATTTAATACTAAAGTAAATCTACACTTGCTATTATTTACTTAATCGTTTTCAAAATGAACTTTATTCAAATATTCATTGTGATCTCTCATTCTCATTTGCATTTCTTTTTAGTTGTTCATCATTTTATCTAATTCTTCTCTTTATTTATTTCAAAAATAAACAACAATCAAATTAGTCTTACTTGATCAATCAATCATAAAAAGTAAGTAGATATAAAAAATAATTTTACTTATATTTTTATTTTCTCATTTTCTCATCAAAATTTGATTCAAACTATTCCTTTTATTATTCCTATCTTTATAAATCCATAAGTATCGCCCATTCATTTTTATATTTTCCATCTGTATAAATAGATAAAATTAATTTCTTTTGTCTCTTATTTTATTGCTTTAATTATTATAAAATGTCTTACCTATAAGCTTTTCTTTAGGAGGAGAGTAGAACATTTTTGTAATAAAATAACCTAGTTTTATCCTTAATGTAGTTAGCTACAAATATATTCAAAGAAAATCCCTATTCTTAAATCTTAAAATTTATTTTGACTTGCAAATATTCAATATATTATAATAATTATTAATTTGCAAATATATCTTAAATTTTTAATAATCTAAAAAGAGTGGATATTATTAAACTGAAGAAAAATCAATGACAGATATTAAACCCTAAAAAATTAATTATCTATATTTTAATTTAATAAGAATTTTATAAAATATGCCAAACCTATTTAACCTCAAATTATTTAAAAACCAAAAACAAATAATTAAAACTAAATATAAGGTTCTTTTACAATAAAGACAGGATTTTAATAAAAATATATTTTAAAAGTTATTAAAATGAATTCTAAAATTTTATATTCAAATAATAACACTGAAGCAATTATATCCTTTTATTTGATAATTTTTTTAAATTCTTAATAACAAAATAAATTAACTATATATTAAAAAAATAATTAGGAGTTCTACTTTTAAATCATAATTTGAACAATATTTATTTTTGTACTTTTGTTGATAAAATATAAAAATACTTTTTATGTTTTGATTAGACTAAGATAAAAGTTAAATATAAAGGATTTAATAGAATAAATATTAATATTATACATTTTTAATAAACTATAATAAAAAATATATTAAAAACTAGTGATTATTAATGCATGAATATTCTTTAATTTACCTAAATATTTTTAATTGAAAGTAAATTAAATTTATATACTAAAAAATAATTTAAAATTAATGTTCTAATCAAAAATTTCTTCCATGTTAATTTAAATAAAGAGCAAACTGTTAGATTTTAAAAAAATGAATTAAATTAAATTTAAACTGAATGATTTGATTGAAATTAAATATTTTACTGAATATTGAGATGATATTTAATTAAAAGTATTATTAAAAAAATATTAATATTTTTTGCTTGGCAGGTATTTAAATCAAGAAACTAAATTAGTTAATAAATGGTCTAACTTAAAATAAAATTATAAATTTAACATATTTTTTAAAAAAATACAAAACTAGTTAATTGATTTTTTAAATCAATCAATAAAAATTTTTAAAAATGGAAGATAGGTAATTTAGTAATAGTTAAACTACAGTAAATTGGTTATAAATTCTTACTCGATTACAATATATATTATATGATATTAGTAAAAATATTTAATTTAGAATGATATATATAGAGTTAATTTAGAAAAATAGTAAAATAAAGAATAGTATTTAGTTTTTATTTAGAGTTCTAATTTGTTTATTTTAGTTCAAATATTCATCTTTTTAATTTAGAGTTCTTATTAATTAGCCTTAAAGTTTTTAAGATATTTTAATTAAGTGAGATTTTCTATGATAAATTTAAGGTGCATTAAATTATTTTATAATTTAATGTTTGTTTAATTAATTTTTTGTAATTTATTTTTTTTTAATTAGCGAGATTTTCTCTCTTTTTTTTCATTAATTATTATTTTTTTATCCAAAAATATATTTTCAGCTCATTGCATCTTTTTATTTCCTGTAAATATGCACTGTAGTTTCACCCCAAGACATTTTATGGTTAACACTTATAAGTAACTGCCAATCATCGCTTTAAGGTAGTTTTTTTGTTAGAGTTATAAAAAAAGAGCCTAGCATTTGAAAATAAAATTAGTAAGAAAAACCAAAAAATTAAATTTATTGTTACCTCTTTTCAATAGCTTTGATCTCTCAAATAGTTTTTACATTAGAAATGGTTCGTAACATGTGGAAGCTGCAAAAACAAGTGTTGCATCGCTCCAATCATACTGTAAAATAATTAAAGTAATATTTTTAATATTGATTTTTGAAATTTAATGAAATAAATTAATATTATTAATGAAGTTTATTTAATCATAATTAAAATTAATTTACTGTAAGAAAGTCGTCTTTTACAAAATTAATTTCGGGAAGACAGAATCCATCATACTTATCGATTTCTATTACTTCCTGAACTATTTATTCACTCTATTCTAGTATTGAGTTTTTAAGTTGAAGACCCATGTTGTGCAGCGATTCCAGTAGTTCTATACCCGTACATCGATCAAATTAATGAAGAAGAGAAGCTGCAAGCACCCCTTTTCCTACTCCAGATCCTAAATCATAAAAAATCCCTCCTTCATTTTAAAGCCCTCCATATTATTCTTTTATCAATGTGAATATATGTGCAAAGGATGGGAAACTCTAATTTTAATTAATTGAAAATTGTTAAATAAGTAAATAAAAAGGAAATAATTTTAGAAAAATTGATATTCTATGAAACTAAGAAGATATTAGAATAAATATTTTATAGAACTTTAAATATAAGTAAAAATTTATTGATTGAAAATCATTAATTAGCCATTTTTTAAACAATATCTATCCTTTAATCTAAAAAAATTCAATCATATATTTCAATATAGTAGGAAATTAACAATTTATAAATGAATTAATAATTTGCTAAATTATTACAATCTCGCCATAAACAAAGGAGTTATAGTTTAATTCTTTTGAGTTACGCTCTTTCTTGCTTGCTTCCTTTATTAATATTTAAATAAAGTTTTTAACTAACTTTCTTTTTATTTATAAAATAAGCAGAATGAATTTAAAAAAAAATTTCAAAGATATAAATTTAAAATGATAAAATGCAATAGGATTATAGTAATTAATTACTCTAGCTTATGATAATTTTTATGAATGTGTCAATCTCTAAAAAATAGCATACTTTTATTTTATTTTATTATTCATTAAATCATGAGGTTTAACTGTGCTAACCAGAGGCATTCGTACCTCTTATTATTCTCTAGTTGATGGCTTTTTAGTTTTCATCAAATCCTAAAAAAAATCAAATAGTCCTTTTAATTTTTATTGACCAATCATACTAACTAGAGCTTCATCATCCATTTTTTATAATTTGAGGGGAAAAAGCTATTCTAATTTTGATTTTATAACTATCCTAATAATTTTATGATCTAGCTTTTTCTAAAAACGATTATTCCTTCTTGATTTGCTTCCTATTTATTTTTGATTTCAAACTTTTTTTCTTTGCTAAATTAGGAGAGGCTCTAGATGATTTTGCTCTTTGCTTTAGTTTATTATAATTAATCTTATATTTTTTGACTGATAGGTTGATTGATTGATCAATTAATTAATTGTATTTTTAATTTTTCTTGTTTACTAACTAATTATAAAAATCAAATTATTTTTTACTTTAAAAGTTTCCCTACTTACTTAGGGCCGACCGTTCTTTATAAGTTTATTTGACTGATAAAAAATCTTCTCAAAGAATTGAAAAATTACATTTTTTACACTATTTTCAAGTAGATCAATTATTATTTAGTTATTTATTTTTGATGAGTATAGTAAATTACTATACCTTCTCTTATTTACTTATTGATACATTCCATTTATTTTTATATCTATATATTAATTACTAATCAAACTCTATATAAATTATTATCTGATTATATATAATATTTCAAAAAATTTAAACAATATAAGTAGAGCAAGCTTCAACAAATTCAGTAAGATAATTTACGTTTTTAGATTATTAAAATATTCTAAGAAAAATAGATTAGATTAACAATTTTGATACAAATTAAAAACAATAAATATGAGCAAAATAAATTAATTTTCTTGCTTAATTTTAATTTTAGAAATTTTTTTATTATTTTAAATTAATGTATTAAAATTTATACATTTTTATAAAATATTTTACATTCTAACTAAGTTTCAATAAAATCTAAAATAATCATAATATTTATATTTTATATTTACTGAGACAGACTTTAAAAATTGAGACTATTAGTTTTTTAATAAAATGAAATTATTTAATATATTTTTTTAAAATATTTCAACTTTAAATTAGTTTATATTTATTCTAATTAGCTATTTTTGGATAAATCTTAATTCAAAATTATTAAATAGTAGTTTGGTAAAAATATTTGATAAATAATTGTGACAAGAGTTGATAATATTGCAAATAAAATGATGTCATAAATAAACAATAAATATATACTTTTACTCATTTTATTTATTAAATACTCTGTTTCGTGTAATACCAACAGATATAAATAAGTCGCTGTACTTGATACTTATTTATCATAGCATTTTAAAAACATTCATTAGCTAAATGTATAAATCTGCTAAATGGAAATAGAAATCTAAAATGAAATTATCAACGAAGATTATTAAAACTACACCTTTGATAATTATTCTAATCATGGGGAATAAGTAGTTAAAGAGATTTTAAATATGAATCCAGAAGTTTATATTTTGTATTTTGAAATATCTTTAAAGTCCAAATAAAATAAAATTAAAAATGAACTTTTACTAAAATCCTTAAACATTATAGAAGCAACCCTATATTAAAATCCTAAATCTATTGAATTTATAAATCTTTCAATAGGCTCTAATTAGAAGAATATTTGGATATAATAATCCATTGAAAATATTTTATCAATAAATCATAATATTATAATTGCATCTGCTGCTGGAAATAGTGGACCATTACGAGGCTCAATTTAATTTCCTTCACAAATGTAATCCATTTTATCTATAGGCACTATGAGTCTACTAAGGTAAGTTAAATTATTTTTTTAAATTAATCAAATTAAATGGTTTTTAAAAAATAGCTCCAGGGGACCTTCATTTGAAATGTTAAATTACCCAATTAAGAAACCAGATTTTATTATTAATTTATCTGATGAAAACATTAATAATTCTTCATATGGTACTTCAATAGCCTGTGCATAATTTACAGGTTTTGTATCTAAATATAGCTATAACTACTCTTAAAAAAATCTATTTTTAATAGCTTTAATAAAAAGTTCTTATAGTTATGACAGTTATAGTATATATGAATAAGGTTTTGGAATATTAGATTTAAAATAAACTGTTACTGTAAGTAGATTTTCTTCTTTTGTAGAAGTATTTCCTTCTCTAATAGATTTAACTAATTCTTATAGCTATTTTGATTTTGTAAAATAGTTAGATTTTTAAAACTAAGACTTAAATGTGGAAAGTTTTAAGTTAACATTATAAATATTTAATGTATTTTAGAAAAACATCCTCATATAAAATATTAAATTAAAAAATGATTCTAATTTTGATAGCATATGCCCATTTAGTATTTTAGCTTTTGATCATTATTTAGATTTTAAAAAGAGCTAAATTTATTTCAGATTTGATTTATTCTAATCATAAAATGTTAACTCAAACGATTCACAAATAGTTACATGCACATTAATTCTTGATTTTTAAGTCAAAGAAAGCTTTACAAATAAAATTATTGTTTAATCAGAGATAGTTAAAATTAAGATTGAGGGAAAAATTTTGCTAAAAAGAGATGTTACTTATAATATATTATTTAATTAATACTATCAGAATCCTCAACTATAAAATTTAGAATACAAATCTAATTTTTATTAATACTATTTAAAAAATCAATATGATTTTTTTGGAAAAAGTCTATTGAGTAATTACTTTGCTTTAAAGTCTCATATTTAATACCTCAACTAAGAAAATTAATTTTAGCTGTTTAATTTATTAGAAACTTATACTTAATTTTAAGATTTAAATCTTCTTTCTAATACACTATTAGTTTTAGTTGATTTTGAAATACCTCTTTCAAATTTAGATATAGAATACATTTAAAATCATATCCTTGACCGCAATAATTCATTGATGATATTTGGTGAATGGTTTTCAGAAATAAATGAAAATGAAAAAGCATTTGACTACTAAAGTATTAATAAACTTTTAAGAATATTCGGAGTGAGTTTTTAATAAGGATCTTTCTCCCAAAAAATATGTGATTATCACTAATAATGTTTTGTTTACTATTCTGGTTGCTAGATTGTGATATTTGAAAATAGTAATATCGTTTAAAATATTACATACAAAAAATAAGTTTTCAAAAATGATTTTGAAGTTGATTAAGATTAAGAAATTATTTATTATGTAGAAATAAAGACTAAATATAACTCTAATGTCTTCCTATTTGGAGATTCAGCTTGTTTAGAAGAAGCTTTTTAGTACTAAAATTGTTTTTATTTAATTGATAAAATAATATAGTAGAGTTAGGAAATTGAGTGAATTTAATTTAAAAAGTGTTTTCATAAATAAAACTATCTAAAAAAATTTAATTTCATTTGATTGTGATGAGCTCAATAGAAAAATAATTGTTTTATTTAATTTACAATAATTTCATATTTTTTAATAAATTCAAAAATACAATTAAATTAATTATAAGTATTAAAAAGGCAAATGTTTTTTATCAATTATTCAATTCTGCTATCTAAATTTGATAGTGATAAACTTAATCGAAAGATAATTGTTTTATTTAATTTACAATAATTTTATATTTTTTTAATAAACAAAAGAATGTAATTAAATTAATTATAAGTATTAAAAAGGCAAATATTTTTTAATCAATTATTCAATTCGTCTATCTAAATTAATTTTAATAATAATTATTTTTGATTTTTTATATTGTATTAGTGCTCCTTCTTCTTATATTTTATTCAGTTAAGTTCCTTCGACTTTAATATTTTTAATATAGCTATTAAAAAAATTTATATTAAATAATAGTTAACTGCTTCAGTGAAATAAAAGACTTTAAGAATCGAATAATAAAAGTGTATTTAATAATACTGCTTTTAAATAAATATAAACATTTTTAATATTGTCTATTTTGCTTTTTTTTGAATTAATTTATTTATTCTTGGCAATTACTTTATATAGCATTTATTAATCAAATATAAATTTTCTGATGTACATTATTTTATTTGGTGTATTAATTATTATAAATAAAATATCTATAACCTTAAAATAAATAGGAAAAATTTACTCTGCTCAAAGCTACAAAATCTTTATCTTTTAAAGAATTAATAAAGAGAAACTAATAAAAGCTATAGTACAAAAAGTAGAAATTCAATAATAGAAGTTCTTGCAGTTTATATATTTGAAAAATTAAAAAAGTCAAAAGCAAAGTAATGGATAAGAAAAAAGAATCTTCCTTAACTATAAAGTTTAAGGATTTTTTTTAGGATGTCAATGGAGTTACCTTTTTTAAGATTTTAGTTTATGACTAAAAAACAGAAGAAACTTGGGAATTTGAAGAACGTTATAGTGCAATGAGAGATATCCATAAAGCACTTCGTGAGTAGTGTAAAGTTGATTTACCAGATTTTCCTACTAAAAAGTGGTTTGGAAATACTGATAAAAACTTTTTATCTTAAAGAAAAGCAACATTATAAACTTATTTTACTACTATTTTGAGCATTTTAGACATTTAGAAATATCCCATTTTAAAGAATTTCTTTTACAGGAAACCAACAAAAGCTGATTAAAAACAAAAATTACCTTAATCTGAAATAAAATAGGATAGCAACAAGTAATAAGTTGGTGAAGATAATAAATCTGCTATTAAACCAAAGGTTGATGAAAACAAACTATAATAATCAAATAACTAGAATGGAGTAGTAAGCGAAAAGTAAAAATAAGAGATGAGAGCTAAGGAATTTGCAGATAAAATGAATAAAATAAGTGAGAAAGTTTAGAATAAATTTATCATAAATTTATCTGATTAGTTTACTAATTAAGATGAAGGTATGTATGAGTAAAAGAGAGCATAAATTAATAAGATTAAGTTAAATTTAAATAGTAACTTGCTATCTACATTATCTCTGCCAACTAAATTCGTAGAAAAACCTGATTTAAATTTGAAAGATAATATTAACCATAGCAAAATAGTTAATAGCATGAACAATTTGAACAGTAAACTCTTGCAAGCTTATGAATAAAACATTAAATCTTATTCTAAATTCTCCTCTCAGTTAATTTCTGGAAAAACATACAATATGAATAATTAAGACTGAAATGAAATGAAAGACTCTTCTAATTGAATTTTTGATTTACCAAACAAACTAACAAATAACAAACAAACCAAAATCAATCAATCAATAAATAAATAAAAGCAGTCTTGAATTATTTAAAATATAAATTAAGTACTCTTTAGATAATATTTTTTATTTCATGGTAAATTATTAAGTAAGTATAATAAAATTTTATAGCATAGTATAGAAAGTTATTTATATTTTTTAAATTTTTAATTATTATCATCTATCTACATTTTAAAATATTTTAAGAAATTTTTAGTTTATTGAGAATGGTATTTTATAAACAGCTAAATATTTTATTTCATTCTTTTTTAATTTAAATTTAGAAAAGATTAATGCTTTTTTATTTTTAGCATAAATTGATTGTTACTTATTATTTGAAAATTCTTGAGAGGAAATTTTTTATTCGAACCTTATAAAAAGTTTAAATAATCTTTATTTGATCTTTACATAAATGTAACAAATTAAAAAGAAGTTTAAAAATATAAACTCATAAGATTAAAGTAGAATTAATTATATTTTTATATTGAATTCCGTTAAAACAACTAATTTGAATAAACTTTTTTGGAATTTATTGCTAAGTTACATTATTTAAATACATAATTATTATTATTGAATAAATTAATAACATAAATAGTTTATTATTATTAGAAAATTCTTTAGATAAAATTTTTTGCTATACTTAAATTGCATTAAAAAGCTTTTTAAGCTGAATATTAAATTTAAAAATAAAAAACAAACTGATTATTAAGTGGTAAATAAAATGTAAAAAATTTTAATATATTTTTTATAAAGTTTTTAATTTTATATTAATAATTTTATATACATTTACTTTTCAAAATTTTATGCTAAATATTGTATAACGCTTAAATATATTGTTCATATTAAATTAAGGTAAAAATAGATCATTTAATTATGTCATTTTACATAAATAACCATTTAAAAGTATTAAATTGCTTGAAAATTTTGATTCTATCAATACTAATATTATTAGATTTATTTTCTAGTTCTTTTCATTTAGTGTTTTTTACTATTTATATTTTTCTATTTACATTCAGCTTAAGATCTTGGCTATTACCAATCGATGCTATCTTTTTTAGATAGTATTAAATAAATTAACAATTAACTAAAAAAAACAATTCCTATCTTTGTAGCTTCAAGTTGATTAAAATAATAATTATAAAAGAGATAGGGATTAATTAGCTGAATTAATATATATACATATATTAGTTAAAGATATGGAATAACAACAAGTTAAACCCCTTCAATATATACAAAATGTTGATAATAATAGCGCAAGTGAAACACTTAGAAATTTAGATGAAAATTCTATGAGGGATGGAGCTATTATTAGAGGAGAAATGTTCTCAGATACTTATAGAAGATCTATTTTGAGTGAACTTATGATTCTAAAAAATAAGTAAGACGATGAAGATTATAAACCTGATTATAGTGAAAGCTGTGAGCTGGGCTATATTGATAACAATAGATAAAAATGTAATTAAATTAATATATCTGCTATTTTTTTCTTTCCTACTATGGATATAAAATAGATAAATTAAATATTTTTTCATACTTCGTATCTTCTACTCTCTACTAGCTAATATTATAAAAACACTTCTAATGAAAGAATATAATAAAAATTTAAATATTTCATTTTAACATTGAGGAAATTCCATATTTTTATTTTAACTTAAATGATAATCTTATACAAAAGATTGTTGAGTGAAATTTTTGAGGGTAATAAATTTAATTTTTTTATAAAAGGTTAGGTTTCAGAAAGTAATTCCTCAAAGTAACAATAGTCTCAAAATGATGATAAAAAAACTGGTAATAATTATAAGTAATCACCAAATATTTTACAATTTGAGGAGTCTTCGTTTTTAGAAAGAGATAATAGCTTATCTAGCTATGAATCTAGCAGTAGTAGTAATAGTGAAAATGAGGGAGCTAATCCTTAAAATAATGAAGGCACTCACTAATAGATTTAAGATGAGTCTATGTACGATAGGACTAACGTTTAAAATTATTCTAGATACTAGTATTCTTTTTACAATAGAAAATCCAACAATCCAGTTCACAATCAAATTAATTTGGTAAATGATAATAAATAAGGATAGCAAAAATTAGATAGTTTGCTTTTCTTGTAACAAAATTAAAGTAATTTAGTTAATGGATAAGTATCTGAACAAAATCATTAATCAGATTTAGATTTTAAAGCTGGCTAAGCCAATAGTTAATAAAATTAAAATATGATATTGAGTGGATAAAGTAAGAAGATAGCTAACAATTAGAATATTCAAGATTCCTCTTCTTAGCATCTTAAATTTGGAATCAATTAAGGTCACAATACATCTTATGATTATGGCTCTCAAATGTAAAAGTCGTAGGAATTGACAGTAGGACTTGCATAGTTAAAACAATAAAGCTTGAACTTACTTTTGAAGGATCCAAGCTAAAAAAATACTAATAAATATTCAATTTAAAAATATTAAGAAAACAAAAGAATTTCTTATAACACAGGAAGTAGGAAAAAAAAGCATCACGTCAAAAATTACCTTTCATTAATGTGCTATGTGAAAAGATTTACAAATATTTTAAAAACTGTATCTACAGCATATAAATTTCGTAGTATGAGTAAAAAAAACTTTGAAATTATTGGGGACTTATCTAGTAATTATAGATTTTACAAATTAAGTTAGTACCTTTAATAAGATGAGCCTGTTTGGTATGAAAAATTTTGGTACACACTAAAAAAGCTATGCCGTACTTTGATTTGGAACCCAATTAACGAATGGAACTGTACTAAATTCTTGATAGAGAGTTTTTAAAATCGTATTTAAGTTATATAACCAGAATCTACTTTTAAATAGTACTGGGATTTTTTCAGCAATATTTTTTTTATAGTAAATATTTTTTATATACCTGTGCGGGTTAGCTTTGATTTTACGAATGTTGCATACCCATCTATCCCTATCACCTTTATTTTATATTATTTACCTCCAATACTTTTAATTATTGAAATGATCCTTAAATTAAACACTGCTATCTACAAATAAGGAATGACAACTTCTAATAGATCTTAAATTTTTTATCATTATATGAAGTCTGAATTTATGATAGATTTTATAATTTGCTTCACGCAGATATTGTCTATAATTCTAAATATAATAGAACTAAAATCGTTTATTATTTTTCGATACAGGTAAGTTTCTAAAGTACTGAATTAAATGGAAGAAAGATTAAATTTAAATGAATAATAATCAGCATATTTGAATCTATTTAGGTTGGTTTTTATGATAGTATTTATTGCTCATATCTGCGGCTGTAGTTTTTATCTAGTTACTAAAATAGAGAGATTTTATGGCCTTACTGGGTTGTGGACTGAGAGAATGGAGATCACAAGTTACACAATTGTATAGCAATACATAACATCTTTGTATTGGGCGGTCATCACAATGATTACACTAGGTTAAAAATTAATTAAAAATTTAAGTTACTCATATAAATATAATTTTTAATACATTGATTTTTTTTTTGAATATCTTATAACTTACACAAGAAACTTATTTTATTGTTTTCAATATTTTGCTTAATTAAAAAAATTATTGTGTAAGATAAATCTTACAGCCACTCGTTAATTAATCTAATTTTATTTTAAATTAAAGGTTCATTTTTATTCAATAAAAAAATAAATCTTAATTTAAAAATATCTCATAAGAATTATTGCCTCTTGAATTCATTCATTTTTTAGCTTCATTAAATATTTATTGCAAAGAGGATTTTACATAATCAATTATTTTTTATATTAAATCAGGGTATGGTGATATAACGCCTTAAAATACAACAGAGAGAGCTTTTGTTATTTTGATTACAATGGTTTCATGCGGTACTTTTGCATATAGTATCAATGCAATTGGGCAAATAGTTTAATAAATTGGAAAAAAAGAAAATGAAGAAAGAAAATAAATAAATATGCTCATGAGTCTAATGAAAAACCGTGGACTGACTAACCTTTAGCTTTTGATGAAAATACGTAGAAATTTTTAATATCTTCTAGAGCAAGATTCAGAAAATAACTAAGAAGGTGTTAAATTCTTGTAATAAATAGATCCTAATTTAAAAAATGAAGTTATGAGAGATATTTATGGAAAGATTTTATCTAAGAAAAAAATATTTCATCTAAATTTTTCTAAGAATGTAATAGATAGTCTTTGTTTAAAATTAAGAGAGTAAACGTTTGGACCTGAAGATGTCATAATTAAGGAAAATGAATTAGTAAAATCTATTTATTTTGTTATGTCAGGAGAAGCTTAGGGCTATATAAATGTATCGTCTAAATTCTAAAAATCAGAAACAACATCTTTTACTGACAACACAATTTCAGTAAATAAAATTTATTATATATGAAAAGTTTATTTCTAAATCAATTAAATATTCTTTTTTGAAAAATATAAAAGGTTTTAAGTAAATTCTAGAAGGGAGATATCTTTGGAGAGAAAGCTTTTTTTAGAAATTAATTAAGCGAGTATGGAGTAAAAGCAAGGACTATAGTTACTGTGGCCTACTTAAGGATGGATGACTTCGTTGAATGCTTAAAAGAGAAAGAAGAAGATTTTGAAAAATTTTGTTTGCTTAGAGATAATTTGCAAATATATAATATTAGTAAAGGTCTTGAAATAAAATGCTTTGGATGTAGCTAATTTACTCATACAATCGTTAACTGCCCACATAGTAAATATAATCCTGATTATGATAAAATTTTATATTTAAATAACAGAGAAGTATTCTAAGAAAGATAACAATACAAACGCAGTAAATAGAGATCTGGGAATACGATATCAATTGCTGATGAAATATATAGTTAAGGTGTCAAATTTATGATGGATTATTTTAGCATTGAGACTCTTTAGAATTATTTTGAAGAAAAAGAGCTCGCATAAGTTTAGCATTTGGGCACTTTAAACAAGTAGCAATATAATGAAGCTATGCTGTTACAATAAAATTAAATGAATATCTAACTTGATAACTTTGGATATATTAGTGGTAGTAACCCGAATTACTCTCCAGGTATAAAGGCACAATAACTTAAGATACTTCAATAATAAATGAATTCAAAAGACTCTGAATATATAATCAGCCCTGAATAAATTATTTCTTAACAGAATTTTTTACTAAATGCTAAAAATTAATAATCAAATGAGTAAAGAAGCAGAGATCTCAGCGTAATATAAGACGAGCCAGAAAAATCATAGTTTGTTTCAGATTTAGAAGATTTTAATAGAGAAAGAGGAGCAAGTTCATCTATTTAGAAATTCTCGAGCTCAAGGTTTTAAAATGAATTAATAAAATACGAGTTGTAGCAGCAGCAGCAGTAGTAACAGTAACAGTAATAATAGTTTGCGTAGCAGTAATAGGTAGTTCAGTTTGCTAAGCAAATAAAACCTATCTCACTAAAGAGAATTGATGTAATAACAATATTTATTTTATTTAAATAAAAGGTTTTTTCTTTAAAAATAAAAATAGAGTAATGATTAAACAGAATAACCAAATAATTACTATGGCTATTACGATCAAAATATACTAAACTATTTAACTCCAAAAAATAGCAATAAATCAACTGGAAATGCATACGGTTAAATGAAAGGTTAACCAAATTCTTTGCTATCCTAGTTTGCTCTTAATCAGGATTCAAACCCTTCTAATTTTAGAAGCAGCATATCAAATACTCCAAGCAATAATCCGAATATTATGAAAACTGCTATTCATAGAGATTCGATCCTAATGGATAAAGAAAAAATGAGCTATTTGTAACCTAGATAAATTAGAAATATTACAAGTAAATCTTAATCAATAAAAGTTTAAAAAATAAGCTATTTTTTTAATAAAGTTGAGTAAAAAGATGACAGTGATAATGATGAAGGTGAAAATAAAAATTTAAAGAAGAGAATGAGCTAATCAGCAGTTTCTAATAATGCAAATGTGTCTCCTGATTTAACTAGCTTAGATAATTAAAGGTCAAGTAGGCATAGAGACTCCTCTAGCCAGTGGAATACAAAAAAATCAGCGGTTAATTTTCAGACAATAAATTAGAACTGGCTAGATAAAAACCAGTTCTTTACGATCAACAATTTTGATCTAGCAAAATAATTTAAAATATATTTCACACACAATAATCAGACAAAAGTGATATAGCACTATACATAAAGAGTAATGAAAAAACTCTAAAAACAGAACTAATAAAGCATAAATAACAAAGAGGATATTTAAAAAATTATTAAATCCTATCAAAGTACTTTATTAAAATCTCCAAAAAAAAGTATTTATATTAAAAATTTTAAAGACTCTCATTTAATTTTTATATATTTAAAAAGGAAATCAGACTTTAATGGATAAAAAATCTATATTTACTATTTATAAAAGCGAAGGTTTATTGAAAAAAAAAGATACTGACTTAGAATATTCTTAAAATAAAAATCTAGATTAATCATTTAAATAAAATAGCTCCATTAACCATGCTAATAATTTATTAGAATCTTAGGCAATTAATATGGATAAAAGTGAATAAAAACATAATAATAGAAATAAGAAGATTAATTTATTAGAAAATAATGGTTATCTAGTCAATTAACAAAAATTAGTAATAAAGGAGCTAAATTTGAAAACTCATCAAATATTCTAGTTAACAAACGAAATTGTTAATAAAAGCTTTTAAATATTTTCTTAATAAAATATTCAAAGTATTACTCGATTATAAGACAAAAACAATGATATATAAAATTACTAAATAAATAATTTAAATTGAAACTACTAAAAAATAATGAACTAAAGTTAGAATAAATACATTTATAATATCTTAAAATCATTTAATAGAACATAAATAAGTAAATGTAAATAAATAAACAAATAAATAAATAATACTAAATACTAATAATCAACTCTATATTTATGCAATTAATCAACTTTTATTTATTCTTTTTATGTTTATTATTAATAAAATTTGCAAAGCAATAATTTATCTCTATAATTTAATATGTTTGATTTTTTCAATCACTAACCCACAGATAAAAGAAGCGATAATTTCAAATATGTAAATTGTATGAATTTAAATTTTTGAATAATAAATAATTAAAATTATATTATACTTTAATAATATTTTATCACTATTTAAAAGAATTTAAATAAATATCAATTTATAATAATCAAATCAATATTTTTGTATAACTTTAATAGTTATTTTTGTGTTTTTTATCTACTAAATCACTCAAATTCATTTATTTGCTTCTTATATTTAATATCTTTTTATTTTTTCCAAATCTAAATCATTCAATTAAATGTTAAAGAAGTGATGATTAAGTAAAGTTAATTAAATTGAATGAATTTAAATTATTAAAAATAATAAATTAAAATGTGCATACATACTTTTATTTATTGTTTAAATTTATATTAGTAAATAAAGGCAATTAATTTATGATATAAATTATTTTTAATAATTTAATTATGATTTCATCTATTTTTGTTTTTTTCTTAACACTTATTTATATTTACGCATGCCAAATTTTAATATTTTTTAATTAAATTATTTCCCACTTACCAAATTATCCAATTTTATTTTTCAAATTTTGAATTTTTTTCCTTTAGGATAATAATTGTTTTTTAATTAAAAATATTAAAAGAAAGAAAAAAGAAATCAAGAAAATAATAAAACACCTATTTAAAATATTTAAAGGAATGAAATGTTATTTTTAAAAAATTTTGAGTAATTTTTGTAATCGCTTTAAAATTTTACTTAAAAATGATTTTCATTTCTTGAACCTTGCTAAATTAACTTAGCTTGTGATGGTCAACTAAAAATTTTATCAATAGATTAATAATAAATATGATTTATACCCACAAAGTGACGTATAGTAATTCCAAACCCATAAGTTTTTAACATTAATAATTTAATCTATTGATAAATAAAATCCAACATTTCTCTCCAATTAAAATCATTTTTAAAATTATATAAAATGCTAGAGAATCGATCTTAGTCAATTTTTAAATAAACATTATTAAAAAAATACATTTTGAAAAAAAATTATTCAAGATAATAAAGTTAATAAATAAATTATACAAATAAAAATATTAATTGAAATAAATAATAAATTAAATAAATATATAAAAATTAATAAACATATAAAATAAATTAATAAATTAAAAGTCAAAATATAAAAACAATAAAAAAATAAGAAATAAAAAAAGAAAGAAAAGTTTTACACTCTTTGCATAATTATCTTATTATTTATATTATCTATTTTTTTCAATTTTTATTTTTCTATTGGTTATTCTATTTTAAAAGTCATAAAGGGTTTATGGAACTAATAATAAAAAGATTAATTATAATTTTTAGAATATTACATTTCTATTTTTTTATATGTTTCTTTCTTAATTTAAAGGAAATATATATTAAATCTAATTTATCCCATAAATAATTGAAGTAATCATCATATATTTCAAATAATTTTTTGTTTTTATCTAAAGAATATAAGCACATATGCAAATCTGAAATAAATTAAGGGTAAAAAATTTACATAAATATTTTGATTTATAAATATATTTTTTATTAATTTTTTTTTTAGTTTAGGCATTTTGATTAAAAACATCAATAAAATGATAAAATCATACAGATATTATATTTAAATAGAATTAATATATAATTTAATATAACTTTAACTAATTTTGTTTTATAAAATTTAAACTCATAAAGAGGATTTTATAAGAGTAGGAATTTTGAAGCCTTCAGGCATTTAAGTCTCAAAGAAATTTTTCAATAACTTCATTTAAATTTCAGTCCAAAACATATTTGATGGGTCTACATAAATAATTAATTTGTTGATGCTGAGATTTTAATGTCTGACAAGGAATCTCTTCATAAATTCACAGTAAATAGAAAAATACTCTTCAGAATCACTGAGCTTTAAAAGTAACTCATATTATTCGAAAATATCATCATCAAGTTCTTCTAACTAAATCAAATGAAGTGCATTATTATGATATATCTTTAATTAAAAAGTTTTAGAAGTAGGATTGCTTTTTGAAATCAAGATATTATCCTGTTAATTAGATAATTATCCTTATGGTTATTATTATTATTATTTTGATATATTTGTGAGATCAATGCTTGGATCTGATAAATAATTCTATCCATTTTTTACCCAAAAGTAATTTGTATCTTCAATAACTTACAATGAGAGACTCTTGAATTGGTATAAAAATGTGAGATGTTCTTATAAAAACCTCTATATTAGATAAAGCTAGAATGACTTTTCCATCCTTTTTTCATCTATTTCTTTTTGGGTATGATATCCTTCGCTAACTAATTACCAAGCATATGAATTTAATAATTCAGTCCATGCAGACTATTCATAAATAATTAAAATACTAAAGTAGTCTTATTAGGAAAATTATTGAAATTTATTTTCTACAACTTAGTTTAATTCATCAAAATTAACTGAAGTAATAGCTTTTTTCAAGCTTTGTTTGTCAAAAGTGTCTATTTAAATATCTATTGAGTGATTTAATAAATAAAGTTGACACCAATTTCCATCGAACTTTTTGTAAAGATTTAAATCCATTTAGTCGAATTTAAGCAAATTAAATAGCAACTTTTTACGGAGTATTTAGCTGTCAGATATTTCAGGCTCAAGGATCAAACAACGAAAACGTAATAATTTTGAATTATACCAGCTGTATGTGTTATCAAACTCAATTTTGTATATACCTTTGCTTTCAGCTAATAGCACTAATCTGTATGGATCTTGCTCACAGTTAATTCTTTAGCTTAGAAAAGTACGTATTACATTTTAATTTTCCCTCTTTTCACATGTGTTTCCAAAATCTTCTAACTTCTAAAAAGTGACCTTAATGTCATTTGTTTATGTTGCAAATCCTACATACACTATGCTGTAAGGTTTTTTAATTTCAAGATGATAACTAAAACCTAATTAAATACAAAAAAAATAATTAAAAAGCTAAGAAAATGTTTTAAAATTTACTTTTTTCTGCTTCTATGGTTTATTATGTTGCAAAAGTTTTATGGATAACAAGATCTTCAAATTTGAAAATTTATTTGTTAAAAAGAGTAGAAGATACATATTTAGAGTCGAAAAAAGGAGAGGCTTGAAGCTAACTTATTTTTTCATTTTGAATTAATTAATCAATAAATTGCTCATCTTATAATGAAGGAGTATTAATTAGTTCGTGTAAGAAATTTGCTGCATATTAAATACACTCTTAGTCTTTTAAATTGCTAATATTTTGCAATACTGTCATAATAGGAGTCTCTAATTGTTTACGAAAAGTTAAAAATTGCTTGTATAAATTCCTTAAAATGCTGAGGCAATATCTCATAATTTCAGGTTCGTTTGGGAAAAGCAATAAACTATTGACAATTAATGCTATATTTCCATATATATGTTCACTTTTTGCTAATATTTCTTTTATGCCTCTAATTTAATAGTTTATAACATTTCCTTATTGCCTATCCTAGTTAGTTATTCAAAAAATAAAATGAGTTAATAAGAAATATATAGTGTTTATTAGAAAAAGGGTAATGTTTAATTTTTTCTATTTACAGTTTAAGTTCCCTATTTTTAAATAATTTGAGGGTAGTTGTCCTTTGAATAAAAGAAATATTCTAATGGCATATTAAGACCTTCCTTGCTTTCTCCAGGCATTTAAATCTTTTGCTGCAAAATAATTGGATCGAATTCTATTTAATTTTCAGGAATAACAAGTAAAGTGAGTACAAATTTAGCCAAAAGGACCATTAAGGTTTTTGCTTATTCTTCTTAGTCATTTAGTTTAACTGGAATTCTAACTATATCTTTGAGAATATTTGTAATTGAGTAAGAAAAAAGAGTCATTTATTCAGAATAGCTAATACATTCGCTGAAAAGATCAAAAATCAAATTAACAGCTTGCTTTTTTTATTAAAAATCATCAGATTATGCCATTTAGCTGATTTTTTTCTCATATTAAATAAAATTCAAAGCAACTCTGGAACCACTTATGATAGGATTCTACTTCATTGAATTCATGTAATCTTTGTATTAAATACTTAAATCTGGCAATTTCAATAAATAATTTAACATATTGTTAATAATTGCTCCTAGCTAGAAGCAAAGCTCCAATCCATTCAATTTGTCAATAATGTTACATAGCGAATTTACCAAATTGACCAAAAGTCTGATATTTTCTATTTGCTCAATTTAAATTAAATCATTTTCAAAACATATAAGCAAAATCCTTCCACTCATGTAAGACTTAGAGAATTTACCTGAATCATTGCTTGTAAGATTAATAATTTTCTAAATTTATTTATCAACAAGCCAAGTTATTTGTTTTTATATATCCTACTGCTGCTCACACTGCTACTATTATTATTGTTATTGTTCTTAATGATGATTATCCTAAACCTAATCTTCGTCATTAAGTGAAATTTCATGAAGCTTCTCCCCTGTTGCATCTACTGAGCTATTTTTTTTAAGTAAGCTCTCCCCTAATCCATTTTCTTATTATTGAGGAGGATTAACTTTTCTTTTAAATTCTTAAATTTTCAATTCTAAATTTTTAAGTAGATTTTAGTCAATTGATTAATTGCATAAAGATTTCTCTATTTCTTAGTAAACTTGATCAATATTTTCCATTTTTAAAAAATTTTATATTTATAGATTTGCTAATAACTAATTCTTTGAGAAAATTTGTAGTCTGCTAAACCTATTTTAAAAGTATTTTTAGAAACCTTTAACCTTCTTTTTTAAAGAGTGATAAAAATCTTATAAAATTATGTTTTTATATTTTCTTTATATTTGCACTAATTTCTTATTTATTATAAAATTGATACCAAATTTTTATTATTGTTTAAAAAGATTTTTTACTACCCAAAAATAAAAAAAGTAATTTTTATTAACAATTTTTTCACGTGTGTAGTAATATAATAAATTATAAAAAACACTTAACTTTTATTACTTTATAAGATTTTTTGCTGAAAAAAGAAAAATTAAATATATTTATTTATTTAAAGCTACAAAAACATTTTTCTTAATAAATAGAATAAATTTTTAAAAATATTTTATTAAAAATTTTAAATATTTAGATTAGCTAATTAAATTAGCCAAATTAAATTTTAAATGATTCAGTCTTAGAACATATTCTCTACATCTTCGTCATCATTATCGTCCAAAACAAGATTTCTTTTTGGTGGCTTCTTTTGTACATTTACCACTTCATTCTATTTTTCTACTACTATTTATTCCTCTTCCTCCATTTAATTATCATCTTGATGTTAAAATTCCTATTCTCCTTAATTTTCATCGAAATCATCAAATTCATTCTCATCTTCTCTATTTTTACTCTTCATTTTATTTAATTTTCTTTTTTTGAGAGTCTTTGGTTCTTTAGCACTATCCAATTTTCTTTATGGTAATTATATCTCTTCTTCACCATCACCATCATCATTAAATATTTCCTCTTATTCTTGCTAATCTCCTGAGACTGCATAATCGACAACATCACCGTCAAAAAGTTCGCTTAAATTATCTAATCCATTATCATCATCTATAAATTCATCTTCTTCATTTTTTTATCTTTTTCCAGATGATTTAGATTTCCCCCTATTAAATTAATTTTATATAAATGAAAGTAATCATAATATAAATATTCTTAGTACTTATTAGAAGATGATCTTTGTTTCTTTTCCTATAATTATTAATTTTAAAAAATTAGCTGAATTGGATGAATGATTTTTAAGTTAAATTACTTCTTATTTTACTTTGTTTTCTTCTAATATTTTTTAAATCTCTTCCTATTTTCTAATTCTTTCAGCAAACTTTTATTCAAGTTTCAATTCTTGCAATCTCTTTTCTTCTTCTATTTTTGATTTTTTTAGTTCTTACTCCATCTGTATAATATATTATAATAAATTAAAAATGAAATTTCATTAAAAATTATTTATTTATTCATTACTTTCCATTTTCTAAATACCTCTTCCTCATTTTAATGATATCCTTGGGATTATTATTACTTTTATCTAGCCTCATCAAGCATTTTTTCAAACTAGGGCATGTTACTTTCTAACATCATTCTTTTAGTTTCAAGCTGTTCTAAAATAGAATTGAAGAAATCTGTTCTCTTTTGTTTAACATAAGTACTGAAGTGTTCTGATCTAGATTTTTTACATTTCTAATCAGATTTAAAGAAATCTAAAAATTCTTTTGCTCTTTTACAAATTATAAAGGCATTCTCTTTATCCTTCAAAGATCTATCAGCATTAGAGAAGATCTTTTCCACCTCAATCTAAAATAATATTTAAATTAACAATTTTTAAATTAAATTTTATCAGAAAAATAATAATTTATTTACTAATTAAATCATATAATAATTATAGCGATGAACTACAGAGCTTGGATATCTCAAAATAAGTTTCTTGATTTATGTTTTTGCCTCAGCATATTTTTCCAAATGCAAGTTGCACAATGCAATTTAAGTAAGAAGGTACTCATCTTTGACCAAACTTGATTTTTCTTAGAATTTTTTATAATTCATAAGAGCTTCTCCATAATTTTTCTCCAAATATTAGATCTAACCTAAGTTAAATAAAATATTAGGGAAAACTGAGATATTCTCTTTTAGACTATTGAAAATCTCCTTAGCTTCATTAATTTACCCATTTTCAGCTAAAACTACTGCCAAAACTATTAAGGCTTGAATATTTGTTTGATCTAATCCTAATATTTCCTTTATCTTTTCTCCAATAATCATTATTTTTTCTATTTAATATTTGAAAAACCATGTTAATTAATTTTTATTTTTTATTGTAAATAAATATTTAAAGATATACTTTAAGACTCTTAATTATCTCTCTTTTCAATTTATTGTTCATAATCCATGTAGTAAACAAATAGCTTAGAGTAATTATCATTAAAACCCTATTTTTTTATTAAATTAAATGCTTCTCTAGCAGATTAATCGTCATCATATTAACTATGAATATATCCTTTCATGCATAAAACAAGATCAGATCTAACATTATTAGATTTGGCTTCATCCTTTTTTACAAGAGCTTCCTCACAATACTTAATAGCATTTTAGAAGCTTCCCTTCTTAAATTCAAGGTAAGCTAATCTAACATAGGAATCTAAGTAGTAAGGACATATGTTCAAAACTTCTTAATATAAACTAAAAGCATTTTCATTTTATTTAAGGTCTTCATACATGGCAGCCATATTAAATTTAACAGTGCATAAAAAACTTTTTCTCTTGGTTTCTGATTCCTCTTTGTCTTAGTCTGTCTCAATTTCGTTTGTATTATTTTAGTAATTTTTAGAGAAAACATTCACACCACCTTCTTGATTAGATTAAACAGCTAACTTGATTGCTTATTCAAAAGCTTCAATGGCCTTTTGATAGTTTTTGAGATGAGATTCAAGTACACCAATATTATTATATATTTCTGGATTGATTCTCTCCTTTTTTTCATTTAAAACTGATAATGCTTATTTAAAGTAGCGTAAAGATTCATGAGCATCAATATCAGTCAAGTTATTGGCATACTCTAACTAGGCTTCAAAATCTTATGGATTATAATTTAGTGCTTTTAGGTAGTATTATTGTTGTGTTTATTTATTTTATCCAAGTGCAAGCTTTGATTGTAGATAAGCTAAAGGTTTAAAAAACTCAAAAGTCAATTCTTTTTCATTTTCTGGACATTGATTACGAATTTCTTCTAATCTTCTAAAGGCCTAATCGTATTGTTGCTTTTAATAAAACAATAATTTATTTTGGTACAGAGGCAAATTTAAAATAAAAATATTACATTTTGAATAAATATTTAAGCAAGGCAAAAACAAGATTGAATATTAGCTCTATTAGATTACAGTGATTGTTCATAGAATTTCTAAGCTAATTCATATTTTTTCTAATTAAATTAAAAATTTTGTCATAAGTTTAGAATTTATACTTTAGATTAAAAAAATTACTTCTCTGTGGAAGCAGCTACCAATCATTTGATACAACCTGGATTTGATATCATAAAAATCTGATCTAGTTTATTTAACATATGTTTTAAGTTTGTCAGAATCCATCAATATTTTAGGAAGATTTTTTAAATTGTTAATAGCCTAAAATGCCATTTTCTTAGTCTAGAATAATATTTAATTAAATAAATTTAGAAATAAGTGTATTTTTTTTAGCTATTTACATTAACATTATCTTATTAAATATAGTAAAACTCTGCAATATAATATAAAACAAGAGGACTGCTTTTATTTAGCTCATATGCTTTATTCAAATTTTAAATGTAAACATTCCATTCTTTTCTTTAAAAGGCTAAGATAGCTAGACCTAGATAGGCTTCATATACAGTCTTATCCTATTTTTATAAATAAATCATATGATATATGTTATTTTATGTTTTTTATCTTTTACCAAATCAATAACTCTTTAAAAAGCTCTCTTAGAAAGCTCAAATTTCTTCTGCATAAAGAAACAATAAGCCAATCCAAGTCTTGCCCTTCCTGGTAATTTAGGATTCTTTTACAAAGCTTCTTTGAAATATTCTAAAGCTTTTGAATAATCTTTAGCAAAGAAGAAAATTTATGCCTAAAATAATAATAATATATTAAATTTTAATATAAATCAATAATCATTCTTAGTAATTTACTTAACCTAAAATATCAATAATATCATTTTTATCCTAGACACAAGCATTTTATAAGTTTTTTTAAGTTATACCAACTTATTTGTTTTGATAGAAATTTATAAATCCTATTATTTTAATAATTATTTTAATATCATATTCTAGACATAAGAAAATTTAAAAATGAAATCATCTAAATTAGTACCTTAAATTGAATGAGTCAAAGATTTAACATCTTTTATCCTAGATGTATTAAGCGTTTGAATTGCTTATTGGAAATAATTGTTTCTTTATTCAATGCTCTCTTCTTTGCTGGCTTTAGCTATCAAAGCTTAAATATTAGTATTATTGATATTTCTTTTGTAAACCCTGCCTGAAGGGGTGTCATGAATAGGTTTATCCATTTCAATAGATTGAATATAATGCATAATTGAATTAAATTTTTCAGATTCTCCATTTTCATAAAGTGAAATCTTTTGAATTAGTAAAAATATTTAATAAGGATATTTATTTATTCAAAAATATTGTTAAAATAATGATTAATAAATTGAGAATATGATTGGGCATTAATCTAAATAATCAATTTAATAAAAGGAATTACTGCAATTCTATTCCATAAATCTAAAGATATTTCCTTTGTAGAGCATTCAGCATAGAATTTAACTAAATCTTAAGGTAATTCTTTGATATCGATATGACCTTAAGTTTCTAATTTGCGTATTATTTTTTCCATACTATTTGTAATCTTATTGAGCTAGTTTAATTTAACTAATTGTTAATTATATTTTTAATATCTTCAGCTTATATCAAATTTTATATAATAAAAATAAATGATGTGAATAATATCTTAAAAATTCATAAATATATTAAAAGATGCTTTAATATTTTTTATTTTTTTAATTATTTTATCAACTAAATTAATTCAATTCATTTATTTTATTTAATAAAACATATTAATTTTTTAAATAAAGTTAAAAATTTATTTTAAATTTTACATTTTAGACATTTATTAAACATAAATTTTATGAATAAAGTTCCTTAAAATATAAATAAACTTTTATTTATTTTATTGATTATTTGAAATTAGACAAATTAAGCGCTTCATGTTTGCTTCTTATTTTCTTTTTCTTATTAATTTAATTTATTTGTGCTTTTCCAGTAATAAACAAACTAAAAAACTACTATAGCTTATGAAGAAAAAGCTAAACCGTATTAAAACTTTAAATATAATTAAAAAAATATGAATTATTTAGATTATTGTATAATTGAATAATTTATTACTATACTGATTAGATCATCTGGCTATTCAATGAGTATAGTATATATTCTAGCTAAGATACCACACCAATTTACAAAGTAGGTCAAAAATGATAAATGTCCAGTTGATTTATTATTATAAATCAATTTAATTTGAAGAGATCTTGAATACAAAGCTTGGATTTTTCATTAGATAATTTAAAAAAAGAGAAGAAAGATATAATTGAAATTTACATATGATTGGGGATACTGTGTATAAGAAAGCAATGATTTCATATGGGATAAGTTTATAAAAGACTGATAAGTTTCCTATTACAGTAAATATTAATAGAAAATTAAGTTTAAGATAGTAACTATTTGAGTTTTATTTATATAAAAACATCAAGAGTAAAATAATTGCATTTTAGTATATAAAAACAATTTTTTCTCTATACAAAGAGACAGGACTATCAATAAGCAAAGAATAACCAAGTGATACAAAATTTAAGCCAATCTTTTTAATATCAAAATTAAATTTTTTTTAATTACTCTATATATTAATTTGTTAACAAAAAATACTTCAATACTAAAGCTAGCCAACGATAACCCTAAAGTGCTTTTATTCAAGATAAACTTAATAATCTGAGGTACTTTTATTAGAGAAGCTACTAAAGCAATTCCGATGCCAACTATTTTGGAGAAAAACTTTATTTTTAAATTAGATATTTAATAATAAAAATGAATTTAAAATTATCATATTTTTTTACTATGTTTAGACACACTTTGTCATCAAAAAAGTTAGAAATTTCTGCATTCTATAAATTTTACAGCAAAGAAGGATAACAAGAATGACTAGAGTCGAGTAAAATGTCTAGACCAGATTGAATTAAGCTCATTAATTTAATTTGCAATCTTTTTATAGTTTATTTTTATCTAAATTCTTTTAATTTGAATTATTATTTACAAATTATTAGAGTGGTTTTTAGTAGTTTTGTAGATAGGGTGTGAACCAAAATGTTAATTAAATTGAATTTCAGTTTAGTATTTATCACGCTAATTATTAGCTTAGTTATTGTTTATATTAGCTAAACTCGTAAACTTAATAAATAAAAATTTTTCTTAATTAATTACATAAATTAAAAAAAACCTTTTGTGTAGATGTTCACTGTAAAGCAACAGGCACTAAATAAAATTTAAAGTAAGTAGGCTTAACTTCCTAAAAATACATAAGATTCCCTTCAATAAATGCTTGCTTGGGATTAAGAGTTTCTTGCATCAAAGGATAAGCTGTTTAAAAATAAGCATTAATACTAAGGGAACGGTGGTTCAGCTTTGCTATTGAATTTAAACACTAACAAAAAGACAAATTTATAACAACAGTAACAACAGTAGAATTAAATCTAACCAACATAAATGAGCTAAATTTCGTAACATGAACTAAGGTAGTTGTAAAAAAAAAGAAAATTGCAAGAATTAGCAAGAGAAAATAGTAAAATTTTAAAGTCATAAAAGTAGCAATAAAAAGAAAATAATGAGTAAATAGATTCATCTTAGGACGCCTCTGACGAATATGAAGTTGAAAAAATTGTTGATAAAAAAATTGAAAATGGATAAATATTTTACAAAGTGAAGTGGAAAGGTAATTCTCTTTTTAAATTTATTAGGATCAATTAATAGATTTAATTTATTTTTTAATTTTAAAAAGGTTGGGATAGTACTTACAATACTTGGGAACCTGAAAATAATCTTTTTAGAGTATCTGAAATGATTGAAGAGTACGAAGCTTCAAAAAAATATTAAAAAAGATAAAATTTCCCAAAATAAGTAGATTCTGGGAGTAGTGATTTGGAAGATAACGATAAAAAGTAAAATTCAGCTCCAAAAAAAGGAGAAACTTCAAATTAAATAAATTAAAGTAACCTATAAAATAAAAATGAGAGTTTGTCAAAACTTTAGTAGAGTTAGTAAAAAATTTAATCTAATGTAATAAAAAGTAGATAGCCTTCTAATAATACACCAATAACCCCAAAAGAATAACAAGATAGACTTTATAAAGAAAATTTAACTGCAAATAAATAGAATAATGCAAAAGAAATGGATACATACGAAAAGAATTAAAATATGAGCAATAGCTAAATTTAACTTGAAAAAAATAAATAATTTTATTAATTGCTGATGAATTAAAAATCATAATCTGCTTCTTCTACTTCTGCTTTAATTCCACCACAAAAACAGAATTAAAAGAATTTAGAAGAAACATAAAATTTGTAAAACAATATAAAAAATTAAGGTAAAAAATATAATTAAATTCATGTTTATTTTACCCATTAAATTTATTAGAAAAAAAGATTGCTAACAACATAGAATAATTAGATCTAGAGGATGATAATCTTGAAGTTGAAAAAGATTATTCTTAGTAAATTCATCAAAAGTCACAAAACAAAGAAAAATCATTTGAAGAAAATGAAGATGGAAATGAGGACGACAAAGAATACATTTTTGAAGCCATACTTGATAAGCGTTAATTAGAGGGATAAGAAGTCGAATATTTGCTGAAATTTTCTAGTAAATTTACTTAGCTTAATTAAGTTGTTTTTATTTTCTTTTAAAAAAATAGACCATGATAAACCTGAGTGGGAACTGATAAGTAATTTAGAAAGCATAGAAGAAGAAATAAAAGAATATGAAGAAGGGTTAAAAAGGGCTTAAGAAAAAGCTATTTTGCTATCATAATAAGAAAATTTAGATTAATAAAACTTGTAATTTGAAGAGGTTTAATAAGACAAAGAATTTATTAGTTAAACTGAACCTGCTACAAGTTTAACAACTATGCAAAGTCTAGTTCATTAAAATAAAGAAAATTAATCTTAAGTAAATCATCAGACTAAAAAAAATAAGATTGTCCCTGAATAAATAGATGTGGACTGCTCAGATGATTAATTTGAACAAGAGGTTTAAAAAAATTAAATGGATATTTAATCTAATTTAAGCCCATAAAATTCTAACCAAAATATCAATTATTAACCAGACTAATAGAAAAAAGATAAATAAACTATTGGCTCTGAATTGAATAGTAAATAAAAATAGTAATAATTAAATATCCAGCAAGTACTTCCTTGCTAAACTAAAATATTAGAAAATGTAATCTAAAATTAATAACCATTTAATTTAATTAATCCTTTACTTAATAACACTTCTCTTCAGCAGCTAGCAAATATTTCAAACCCTATTAATTACACATAAAATTATAACTTTAGCTAGGAAATTGGATGCTTTTATAAAGGTGATCAAAGATTTTCTATTGAACCTTGTGACTAATCTACTCTACAAGATCTTTCTAAGACTACTTTCAAAGTTATGTGGAAACCAAGAGTTAATGGTTGTGTACCTCTACCAAGTCTAATATCTTACTAAATGCTAAAAGAACATGATCCAGTAGGCTTGGTTTTATTTTTTGAAAATCTAATATAGAAATAATAGTAATAAATAGCTAAATGAATTTTGTTTTGGTTGGTTGGCCTACTTAATTTAAATTGATTCAATAATAAATAATTAAATATAGCTTTATTAGTATTTATTTTAGCAAAATTATATTTTTGATGAATTCAAAATTTTATTTTATATTATTAGTTTCGTAAATTCATATTTTTTCAAAATCATTTAATTTTAATTTAAGAAAGAAAGTTAGTTAAATATCATAAAATAAAATCTCTTTAAGTTTAGTAAATTTTTGAATGAAAATATATCTCTTCATAACTTAAATTGCTATTCAATAAAAAAACTTTGATTTAAAATATTATGTGTATTTTATTCATTATTGCATAAAAGAATAATTTAGCAGAAAATAACAATTTTATTGAAAATGAGAAAACCTAAATAACAGTTTTTAAAATAAATCTTCTAAAAATAAAAAAATTTTTCAATTACAAATTTAAATTTCAAAATATTTTTTATTTTTTTATATTGATTTATTTAAAAATACAAATCAATTATAAAAAATATACTAATTCAAAATGTTTTTATGAATTATTTATTTAAGTTTAATTTTAATAATAAATAAAAAAATTGAATAAATCAAAAAATAAAAAATTTAGAACGAAAATTTATTCAAAAATAATTAATTAATTTTTTTGGTTTTTAAAAATAGTATTTATAGCTGATTTAGTATAAAATTAAATTATTAATTAAAATTAAGCATAATTTATAGTTTAGAAATAATAGGCAACATAAAATTTAACGTATTTTTTATAAAATATCAACCTTTCATTTTCATAGTTAAAATTCTATACTTTCTTATTAAATATCTAAAGAAATCTTTGACAACCTCAGGATCCTCTCTGATAAATGATAGTAAAGAAATAAAATAAATACAGATATTGATAATACCTAAACCAAATGGATCAAAGCTAGTTGTATAAATAACTATAGAAATGATATCAATCAAAACTTAAAACATATTGAATAAGTAGCACTATCCAATTATTTAGGTGGCTTGGTCTTTGAATGATTATTTTTAGTAAAAATCAATATCTTATTTATTAAATAAGGATTGAGAAATCCTTATTGACTATGGACCTAAGAAATAAAAATAATACCAAAACTTGTAAAATTTAGGGTATTTCTTACTTTTAACTTGCTGTGAGTATTATTTCCATTAATCGTAGCCTAACTCATCAAACTTATCAAATAAATTTCTGGCTGAAACTCCATAAATTACATTAATAGTATAAGTTAGTAAAACTAAAATACAAACGAATTTATCAAGAGACATGATGATCATAAATATCTTTGTTAAGTTTTCTAATATTGCAAAAGAAGAGCTAAGTGTGATTATTAGAGCTACTTTTGATTTGTGTATAGAAAATAGAGTAAATATTGCTATTATTGTAATCACAATCAAAATCAACGATGTTAGAGTCAATGCTAAAGTCTTGTTATATGAGTCCTATTTATTAAATTAATTTTAAATTAGTATTCAATAAGTTTAAGTTTATATAAAAATAAATATTTTTAATTACTTTAACATCTTTCATTATTAACATACATTAATTTTCTTTTGTTTCATATTTAGTAATGTCACACTTATCAACACACAAACCTTGTTATAGATAAGGATACTATAATTTGCATGAAGAACATGTACTTTAATTAGTACAAGTTTGGCAAGATTCGTGACATGGAGAACATTTAGACTAATTTAAATAAGTTTTTTCTGGGCAAGTTTTCACACAAAGCTTTTCAAACTAGTAAGGATATTGAGTACTACAAACATCACAAGTATTGTTATTTGAGCATGACTGGCATGATATGTCACAACTTCTACAAACATTTTAAGTATCTGGATAAGTTGACTATGGACATTTATCAACACATAACTTATTGTATAAATAAGGAGTTTATTTATTGCAAGTTATGCAGCTTGTAGTATCTGAGCAAGTTTAGCATGTTTAGTGGCATTTAGTACATGTGTTTGCTTAAGCAAACATTTAATCAGGGCATTAAGCCACACAAAGTGAGTTTAAGAAATAAGGATATTTTGGATCACATATTATGCAGCTAGTAGAATTTAAACAAGTCTTACACGATTTATCACATTAATTGCATACTTTAGACAATTAATCTGCATATGTTCCTTCTGGACATTAAGACACACATTTATTATTAACTTTATCTAAGTAAGAGTTACCATAAAGATTCGAACAAATTATACAATCTAAGTTAGTTCCTCCAGAGCAGGTTTTACATTCAGGGCTACAGTATTTGCAAGTTTTATTAACAGTATCATAGTACATATTACTTTCAGGACAATTTGTATTGCTATCTAAAACACATATTACTGTTCCATCAGTTTAATAAATTAAGTGATAACCAGAATTACATTATGCACAGATCTATGGATTATTTGAGCATTGGTTACAGTTTTGTACATTGCAAGAAGATCCTTTGCAAATATATACTCCTGATTGCAATTAAACCTTTATTGTATTTTAAGGGCAGTTCAAAACACATACACCGTCGCTCATTGCATAATCTTTGTCACATTAACTACAAAAACCTTGGTTTTGACAAACAATACAGTTAACTCCGCATGGAACACATTAGGATCTTGAAAAAAAATTTTAGTTTAAAATTGATATAAGAATTAAAAAATTTTACTAGTCTTAGATAGTGCCAGAGGGGCAAGAACTTAGGCATTTTCCTTAGTACAATAAAAGATTAGGTGGTTAACATTAGTTACAAATTGATGTATCATAACAACTTTTGCAAGATGGTAAATTATCACATTAGGTGCTGTTTGAAGTGTAAAGCACGAAAGATTGTTGAGAGGATTAAAAAGAAGGATAAAAGACTTAATCTATGCTTTCGTCAACAAAAACAGATAAATTTGTAAATTAGGTAGAAGTTTAAGCTGTAGAATTATATATTATAGTAACATTTCTTTAGAATTCATTTGGCACTATAAGTAATTATTTAGACGCATTAATAGAGCAAGTTATATCAACAGTATTTCCAGAGTTAAGAATCTGCTAACACGATATTTTGTTACCTACAATCTAATTACTGGGTAAAACAAATCTAAACTATCTTGTAGTTGAAGAAAAGATCAAAGGGTTTAAAAAAAGCTGATAATAAAATTAAATGGATTAATTAATAAGAGCAGGTTAGACGCTCACTTAAAATTAATTGAGTTAATTTAAGACAAGTTGGTTGATACTCTGAGATGATTAATAGTAAATCTGTTACTAACTTTGAGTATTTTGCAATATAGTAAATTAAAGCTGATTTTGGGATTATGAACCAATAATTGCATTTATATTTAATATTTATGAAATTTCCAAATATAATAAATTCTATGAACAGGATTAATCTACACAAGTTGATTAAAAATCGCTTGAATTCAATAATACTGTTACTTATTGTAATCTTTAAGTTTGAGAAGAACTATCAGAATAATAAGTGGTGGAAAGCACTTGCTAGAAATTAGCTGAAGGACTTATTCTGTATTAAGGTTTCACTAAATTATTATTTAAAATATATCTATAATCAGGAAAGTTAATTTAAATATAGTATGAATCAATTGAAAAGCTAGAGAATGTTAGTTTCGTATTTAATTGTGGATTTAGACCAACAACATCAGTAGCACTACTAATTACCATTTTATTAAAAGGCATTGGTAAAATATTGTAGCCATTCACTGTACCGCTATCTATTTCGTAGATACTTCCATCGCTTTCTTTTAAAAATGTTCTTATTAAAAATTAATTGATAGCATTGCTTTGACTACTTGAAACTATTTAGTATGGCCTATTCACAAAACAATTTTAAATAGATATTGTTGTACTTCCATAAGTAGATGAGACAGTAATATATTACTAGCTATCTAGAATAGTGGTTTAGCATTAACTACTTATAATCATTGAAGAAATTTAATTTTAAAAACCTATATAAACAATAGTTGCATAACTTTAAAATTAATTATTTTAAATAGATGGGTTGAAAGAAAAATTTAGATTAACAGGGCTTTTTGCAATTTAAGATGTTGGGGTTAAATTTATATTGCTCAATAAACCAACTGTTTTTGCACTATATATGACTTCGCTTGTTTCTTAAACTTTGTTGCTATTGGTGTTAAGTGAAGAAACTACTTAAATTGTAAAAGCTGTTGCTTTTTTTATACTAATCGGATTATATTATAAATTTATTACAACTTGAACTGTCTAGCAATAATTTGTTGAATCTCCTTTAAATGATACACTATAAATAGATTATTAAAATGAACAATTTTCAAACTATTTATTCAAACTAGAAGGTTGTAAACAAGAAGCTGCACAATTTTAACTTAGATAGCTGGAAGGGATAGGAGACTAAGGGCTAGGGGTAATTAAGATTTATCCGCCTTAGCTGGTATTATCGACTAAGATAGAATTCATGGTTAAAGTTAATGTAAGTCTTACTTCTTTAGCATTAACAACATTGTTATTAGATGATGCTACTGTATTAAAAGAACCAATCACTGATGAAGGTAACAAACTAGCGTTATACATATAATTTGGTAAAGCATTTGGTGGTTGTTAAAATGATGCAAGTATGCTATATTTTTGATCACACTATCCTATAAAATAGCCATTAATTAAATTAATACTAATAGCCAAAACATCGCCTGCAGATAACTAATTTTGAGTTTAAGTGCATGGATTAATAGAAATAATCTAATTCTATCCTTATTAATTAGAAGAACATTGCAATATAGTGTCACTGTTTCTGATTTTACACTAAATAGCTTAATTAGGTACTCTTGGAGAATAAGGGCATTAAGTTGGTAATGTAATTACTAAAGTTGTTGATGTACAAGATATATTTTAAGTTAAACTAAAATAGAAAGAATAAGAGGAAGTAGCACCAACTGCTTGTGATGAAGCATTTTCTCTTTCCACAATCATTCCACCTTAAATTAATATTGAATCTTGTTATATTAAAGCGTTAGATTTGTCTTAGATAGATGCTTTTATATTTGAAGAAGTTTAAGCAGAGGTTATATCTATTGTATTGGTAATCAGAAAAGAAAATTATGAATTATTATTTCCATCTGACTATTGAGGAGATTAAAACTATAAAACCTAGCCATTCAGACTATAACTTATCTATGATTATTAATTATTTTAATCAATAAAAAAAATTTTGATACTGCTTGACACCTAAATTGAACTTCCTGTAAAGTCAAAAATAATAGCATCATCTGATTTTATTACATTATTAACTACAAAGTTTATATTAATTGTCCTTGATGAAGTTTAAGAGTCTGTGGAAATTGTAAGCGATGAGCTTTTGAATGGAGAAGGATTAATTTACACTACAAATTGAGCGCTAGAGTAAGTAGCTTGGTTTTGCATATTACTTTAATAAGAATATTACTGTGTAATTGTAATTTATTGAGAAGGATATAATGTCTAAACTCTTGAGTTCTAAATATTTGCAAAAACTATATTTACTTATGATCCTTAAGCAATAGTTTGAGTAATCAAAATTTAAAAGGATTAATTTGAAGGATTAGGATTTTATATTGTGCAAGTAATTCCATTAATATAACAGACTGTCGATGATTATGGCATTTGAAGCGAGTTAGGAATAACGATAGTTAAATAGTTTTTATTTGCTACTAAATCTGCAGAAGCGGTGAAAGATATAGTTTGATTTCCTATAGCTCCTGTTAGATAAGTAACTCTCTAATAAGCTACATTATTCAAATTATAAATTTAGGCAGAAAGCTGAGATAAATTTGTATTTTAAATATTATTTACAGCAACTAGGTTTATTACTTTAGAAATATCAGCTTAAAGAGGAAAAGCTTAGTAAGTAAATTGTTAAATTTAAAAATTCTTCTAAATAAACGAGGTTTGTAAATTGCATAGAGTAAATTAGATTAATCTGTTATTATTTTATGCAGAAACTTATACTGGATTCTATAAATTAATTGTCAATTATTAAATACTTGGTTCCAAGTAGTTATCATTTAAAGATAAATATTGTGAATATGTAAAGGTCTAGCCATTACAAATGTTAATGCTTTATTAATAGTATAGAGCAAATTAAGGAATATTAATGATAATTTGAGCTCCATTTTAAATTAAATAAGGAGTCAATTCAAGTTAAACTAATAGTGGTAAATTGCTTTAAATATTACTACTGGTGGATGAACCACTTCCAACTTAAGACAAGATAGGATACTAAGCATAATATGGAACTAGATGACTTAATTGTAAAGATGATTAAATAATTTCAAATATACCATCTTAAGTTGAATTTGTTACAATAATTTAGATGTTATTATTGTAAGTAATACTTTGATTAATATAGTCTTAATTTTACAAGCAATTTAAAATTTAACTTAAAGATGCTAAACAGTAACTATTTTGGTTACATGATGGTATTGACTAAACTAATTTAACCTAGAAATGAGTACTATTTAAAGAAGTAGCTTGACAGTTTGAGTTTGTAATAGCAGATGAAGGAATTTTAACAAAGCTATTTAAATTTGGGATTATGAGAGCAAAAACATAGTTTTGTGAAATTTACATTTACGATTAATAGGTTAACTGTAAATTAGATATATCTGAAAACTGAGGTTAAGAGCTAGTAAAAGATAAAGTTAAACTTGAAGGATTGGATGCCTCATAATATTTTATCTGAGTCGTATTGTATGTAACATATTATTATTTATCTATATTAGATATTTAAATTAAGAATATAATAAGTTATGTAAAAACTAACTCGAAATTTAATTTTCTATTTTAGTTGTAAAATTATTATAATTGGAAACAAATAAAAGTAATTCTATAAATATTCTATATAAATTGGATAATAAATTTCAATAAAATATTTGTAATAAATAATATATATAATATTAATGTCAATAATAAATAGGTAAAAAATTATAATTACAAAAAAAGATTAATGATTAAAACTTAAAAAATTTAAAATTATTATGAGCTTTTTTAAATTAAAAGTATTTGAAGTAATTAATTAAATTCTTCTTTTTTTAAAAAAAGTAAAAAAATTTTATTTTTAATCTAAAAAATCTATTTTTAAAAATTATAAATTATACCTGAAATGCTAAAACTAAATTGGTAATTGTTAAGAGCTGGATATACACTTTGCATCGCATATTAAACAGTTAAGCTTAATTAGTAGTATTAATATGATCCACCATCTGTACAAGGAAATTAAATAGTAAAATTTCCCTATTAATTATTAACATATGAAGTATTTACTACCTTTGACGATGCTTACCAATATAACATAAAATTAAAATTGCTTTAAATTTATTAATATGGGTGAATAAACATCAATGTCTATGTTGAAGCACAAGGATTAGATACTTTGAATTTAATTATGACTTAACCATTACTTTAAATGATCTAAGGCTAATTTAAGTTAGGAGATATGTCATAATATTAAAACGAATCATATAAAAAATTAAGAGTATAACTTTACTTTAAAAATTAACTTACTTAACCTTAACTTGTTTTAAACCATAATTGAATCTATAATTAATTACTCAAGGGATTTACCCAACTATTTAACTTTTATATTTTAAAAAAATTAAATTTAATTAAATTTTTAAACATTTACATTTAATGTAGATATCTAGTAATCATCAGTTTTTATAAATGTTAAATATTAAGAAGTACAGCCGCATATTCCAAACATATCTTAATAAGTGCAAGTTAAATTAATATTTTGGATATTATCTTTTACAGTTTTTAGAGTTCCTAAAAGAGTATTAGAAAAACATGATGAGCTGTAAGTAATGGTAAGCTATGTATTGTCTAAATATGAGTATTAAAAGGTCATAATAAATGGGCTTTATGCATTTCTAATTAGGTTATTAACGACTTAATTTTAAACAGTATTATATGAGCTATCTCTTGCTTAGAATGAATATGTTTAACTATATTAGCTAAAAGTTTAGTCTAAATAGTATTCGACTTAAGTAATAGTAAAACTTTGTGAAGGATTTTAAAATAATCCTATTGTTAAAGATGATGAACGAGGTATACTTCCTTGATTAGGTGTCAAAATACATGTATTTGTATCCATTTTACAAGCTAGAGTATCTAATTATAATAATAAATTTATTTACAAACAAATTATAGTTTTTGATAAATAAAATACAATTTGGGTCATTGACTGTAGGTTGAGTATCTGGAATGATAAAACTTGGATCATTATTTGAGCTTAAATAAAAGATAAGTACCAGTTTTGTTAGATCTTTGGTTGTCTAATATAAATATATTTTATTAATCTTTATAAGATAAAATTATAAATTTTATACCGAAATATTTATTTTTGTATATTCATTTGTGAAAGTTTTAGATAATGTTATTGTAGCTGTAATTGATTGTGCAAAAGCCATCCATAAATATAAAAGTAGAGCAATAATACATTTTATATTTATTTTTACAATTTTTAATGATTCTTTCATTTTTTAGCTATTTTAAATTAAGATATTCTTTAAAATAAAATCTTCTTTTTAATTTTTTTTTTTTCAAATTTAAAAAATTTCAAATATAAGTAAAGGCGATTGCTTTATCAATAATCTTAATGATTAAAAAATATACTTATTTTCTCTTCTTATTTTAATAATTAATAATTCAAACAGATTTGTAATTCAAGTTCATAAAATCTCTCAAAAATATTATAAAAATATATTTTAAAATTGAATATATAAATACAAATTCAAACTGATATTTATCAAGCAAGAGAATTTATTTTTCAGAAGAAAATATAAAAAATCATTTTTTAAATAAATGAAATATGCAAAATCTTTTTTCATAAGAGCTAAGAATTATAATTGAATTTTATATAAATTGTTTGTTTGTTAGCACAGATCCTATCATATATATATATATCAATATATTTATAGAGTTATAATAATAATTTAATTATTAAATTTATAATCATTAACCTTCATTCATTAATTTTATCAATTTTAAACTCCTTTGAAATCCTTTTAAAGGTTGGTTCAATTAAGTTTTGGAAAAATTATAAATCTAAACTAGCTTCCTCTTATTATTCTATAAAAAATTAGCTGTTTATTTTTTTTTCTTCTTTTTCTTTTTTTATTAAATTTTTGATAAAATCTTTCTTTTTTTGTTATCAAACAAAGTTATTGCTATTTATGTTTTTGACTTATAGGGGAATATTTTAATTATTGCTAAGATTGTTTGAGCTGTGTCCGCTATTATTATTACTATTATTATTTGGCTGATTTCCAAATGATCCTATTTACATATTTCTAAATATAAAATAAATTTTTGAATTATTTAAATTTAACTTACAAGTTTTGTTAGCCTACATATAATTTTTATAAAGGTAGAGACATCTAATTAACATGCTAAGTTTATTATTATCCAGGTTAGTTTTATGAGAGGTAATTTCCTTTTGAATATTCGTTTTATTATTTTAAATTATTTGATGCCTATTACAAATTTTGTTAGCCTTATTACTACTATTAAGAATTATAATTATTCTACTATTACTACTAAAACTTTCTGAACTGTAGATTTATTTCTTATACATTCTAATTTGAGTTATTGCCATTAATTTATTATTGCTATTATTATTACTACTATTGATACTACTATTATAAGCCTTGCTATTAATTTTATTAATTACTAATCTTATTATTAGCTAGCATATAATTTTATTAAACTTATCCAAATTGATTTCCTCCTTATATCCCTTCTATCTCTTTTTTCTGAATATTACTTAATTCCTATTGCACGCATTAATAATATTTTAAACCATTTTTATTTATCAATTTAAATAAAAAATTAATCTATACTCTAACTAAAAGGTCAAACTCTTCTCTTAAAGTTTCAACAGTTGTTTAGGTTTCAATCCTTATCTTTTCTGAGTTTTCGAGTTATGCCCTTAAATTATATAACACGTTATTATAAAGAAAATGTAAAAAGCAAATTTACTTTAACAATTATCTTAATTTACGATTATCTTCTCTCACTTACTTAAGTTTTTTGGTTCTTTTTTACAACTAAGTGTCAAGATCCCTATTTATATTTCAAAATGACCTATTTTAATATTGTGGTGACAAATACTAGTTATACTTTAAACCAGGACTTTATACTGAATTGTTAAACTCTAAGGCAAGTGTAGTAAGTGCTTCCCTACATTTTTCAACCTTCTTTTAAGTTATATATTGCTCTTCTAATATGCCTTCAATTCTTCTGAGACTTAAGTCTATATTTAAATACAATAATTAGAAAAGCATAACATTTCATTGATATATTAGCTTATTTTTTATTTTGGGCTATATTTGTTTTTTAAAATATTTAGATATTTTTATGTATTTAATTAATATGTTTATTTACCAGATTAAACCATTTTTATTGCAAACTCTTAAAAAGGATGATCCTATTCGCCTTCTCTATTCTAAGTAGGAAAAACAGAGCATAGCTAAAATTAGTCGAACTTCATTCCAAGTTGTTTACTTACTTGCTTTTGCTTTTAAAATAAAATCATTATCAATTGCCTTTTGATTAACATAATAGTATATTTTCTTACAATATCGTTATCATCTTCAAAAAAGAAAGCTGGTAATAATATTGAAACAAGAGCCATATTTTATATTCTAAACTAAAGGGCGTATTTAAAAGTCTTAATGAATTCAAAATAATTGAATTTTTCTTAATTTTACTATCAAATTACTCTTTTAAATCTAAATTATCTTATCTAACAATGATTAATTTTCCTTTATAATTATTTATTTGCTATTAAATTACATTATTTTCTTATTAAAAATCTATTCATCAATTAAAAAATTCAATCACCAATTTTTTAAATCATTTGTGGTGACTTTTTCATAACAGTTAAGAATATTTTTTATAATTAAAAAAATTTTTATTAATAATTGAAAAAACTAATTTAATTTAATTTAAATAGCAATCAATTGGGGTTGGGGTTGGGGGTTGGGGT